GTGTGTGTGTGGATGGTGTGTGTGTGTGTGGATGGTGTGTGTGTGTGTGTGTCTGTGTGTGTGTGTGTGTCTGTGTGTGTGTGTGTGTGTGTGTGTATGTGTGTGTCTGTGTGTGTGTGGATGGTGTGTGTGTGTGTCTGTGAATAGTGTGTGGTGTGCCTGTCCCTCGGTTGGTTTGTAACAGACCTTGCTTTGTGCCTGCAGATTGGTGAGGAGATGAGCTCAAACAGCTTTATCAAGCAGTACCTGGCCAAGCAGCATGAGCTACTGAGGCAGAGGTTGGAGAGGGAGGCTCGGGGAGATATGGAGGCAGAAGGTGAGAGACTGCAACATACGCGTGGTGACACTTGCCCAACGAGCATTTCCCCCTTATCTGTACCGCCTGGAATCGGAGCTCGTCCCAAACATCGTGGGTTATAATGTGGGCGCAGTGTCAGTCCCAGTCTGCGTACATTTCCACCCCCACCCCACCCCCGCATTGTGTCAGTCCCTGGTACACATCCCACACTAACATTAATCTTGCTCTCTATATCCATACTGTAATTCCTGGGATCTTCCTCTGTATCTGCCGTGGGGCGGGACAAGTTGGATCTTCGTGTGCACACCTAACGAACAGCATCCTCCTGCATGCACACTCGCTGTCTTCCTCTTTCTCTCTCACCCCCTCGACATTTCTCTCTCTCTCTTCCCCATCCCCCGGCCCGGTCCCTCGTGCGTTCTGAGTTTCCCCATCCCTGCTGACACAGCCTGATCTCTGTCTCTCCCGTGTTTCTGTACAGACGCCGACTCTGATAGTGAAGGGACAGACACACTCACCACCACCACTCAGCAGTCTGACTCCCATCCTGGCGTGGAGCAAGGTAAGGCACCTCACAGGCTCTACACAACCTGCAGGGGCAGGGAGATGGCGAGTCAGAAAGAGATAGAGAGAAACTGGGCTGCCTGGGGTGCACAGAGAGAGAGAGAGACTGGGCTGAGGTGGGTGCTGGTGCTGGGGTGGGTTAGGGAGAGAAGGAGAGAGAGAGAGACAGGGCTACTGGGGGCATGGAGAGAGGGAGAGATTGTGTGTGTGTGAGAGAGAGAGAGAGAGAGTGGGCGAGGGTGGGAGGGAGGGGGGCTGGGGCTGGGTTTGGGGTTGGGGTTGGGGTTGGGGGAGGGAGAGA